CGGTCTCTCTTTTTTTTTTTTTTTTTTTTTTTGGGTTATTTTTATGACACATTGTTGAATGAGAAATTGAACTTGCATTGATGTTTATATGATTACATCACTTTAATGAAAATAACTGGATAAATAACCTAGAATTTCTAGTAGCTAATTTTCTCTTTCATACATAACCCTAAACCCTTACTCAACTTTCCATACAGTTGACTTTCTCTTAATGTTTGTAAAACAATTCGCAAATGTTCTCCATGTTCTACCTGAGATTTGGAATATATAATAATATCATCAATGAATACGATGACAAACTGATCTAAATAAGGTTGGAAAATTCAGTTCATCATATCCATAAATGCTGCTAGTGCATTTGTCAATCCAAAAGGCATAACTAAAAATTCATAATGCCCATATCGAGTTCGAAAAGCTGTTTTGGGTATATCTTCAACTTTGACTCGAAGTTGGTGGTAACCAGATCAAAGATCAATCTTTGAAAAGAAATGAGAACTTCTTAACTTATCGAATAAGTCGTCAATTCTAGGCAAAGGATATTTGTTCTTTATTGTGACCTTATTTAATTGATAATAATCGATACACATTCGAAGAGTTAAATCTTTCTTTTTTTTACAAAGAAAGCAGGTGCACCCCATGGTGAAGTACTAGGATGAATATATCCTTTTGCTTGTAATTCTTGGAGTGCATCTTAAGTTCTTTCAGTTCAGTTGGGGCCATACGATATGGAGGTATAGAAATAGGTGTTGTACCTAGGTATATTTCTATAGCAAACTCTACTTCGCGCTCTGGAGGTAAGCCGAGCAATTCTTCTGGAAAAACATTGCTAAATTCCTTTACCACAGGTCTAAGTTGTATTGGAGATTTTTCTACTTCTTCAGTTCCAATTCTAGCTATCTGACTCAAATATTTATAATCTCCAACACCATATTTCTGGCTTTCCTTTTTCACAAAGAAGCTAAAGGTTTCTTCCTTATGAGTATTGATGGTAATTCTCTTTTTACCACAATCAATTGTAACTTGGTAACGTGTAAGCCAGTCCATTCCTAAAATAATATCATATTCCAACATTTCCAATACCATCAAATCAACAACAATTTTATGGCCCGACATCTCTATCATGCAAGATCTACATACTTTATCAACTTCTAGACTACCACCCAAAGGAGATCCAATTAACAAAGAAGGTTTCATATTTTCAGAGTCTAACTCAAGCATTGATGCAAAAGATTTGGATATAAAAGAGTGTGTAGCTCCACAATCAAATAACACTTTAGCCCAAGAGTTGAATACCAAAAACATACCTTCTATTGTCTTAGGCTCAGTTTGATCTGTCACATTTCCCATAACATATACTCTTCCTTGTGTGAATGGTCCAGATTTCTTTCCAGCTGCAGGGACCTTTGGTTTAATTTGGGAAGATTGTCCTCCTGGATGTTGTGGTGATTGACTAGTAACTGGCCTTGCCCAGTTAGACTGAGGTTGAAAAGTAGTATAACTTTGAGGTGGCGGTGGAGCACGAAAAGGTACTTGTGGAGGACGATATAATGTCTGCTGTACTTGAGGTCCTTGATATCTTTGTAGTTGTGGACAAAATCTCTTTACATGTCCCACTTGTTTGCAGTAATAACATAGTGGTGGTCCGAACTTTTCTTGTGATTGAGGAGTATTAAATCTTGTCCGTTTATTTACTTGTCCACTACTTGAATCCCAAGTTCTCTTCGTTTCGGGTCTTTGCTCTGCTATATGTGCTCTATCAACCACATCAGCATACTTGCTTAATTTCAAAATGTCAACCTTTTCCAAAATTGATGGTTTCAATCCTTCTTCAAATCGTTTTGCTTTTGTTGCATCATCAGGGATCATATATGGTGCAAAACGCATGAGTTCTTCAAACTTAGATTGATATTGATCAACAGTTAAGTTGCCCTGGACAAGGTTAACAAACTCCCTTGCTTTCATTGCTTTCATAGTACTTGGAAAATATTTTTCCAAGAAAACACTTTCGAATGCCTCCCAAGTTGTAATTTCAGTATCTGGCATACTCAGAATTGACTCCCACCAAAGGTATGCTTGTCCTTCCAGATAGGTACAAGCAATAACAACTCTAATGTCTGCAGGAATTCTTTGATTATCCATCTTTCTCTTAATTTGCCTCAACCATTCTTCAGCTGCCATAGGATTTGGTTCACCTTTAAATATTGTTGGTTTCGTCTTACGGAATTGTCCTGGTATCCTCATAACTCGATCTTCTTCAGTTTCATGACGGTGATCTTGGTTACTATTTTCTCTAATTGCTGAAGCCATATCTTGAATGGCTAAGATTACTCCAGCATTTCCATTGAACTCATTTCCAGATTCAGCCATCTTAAATGAATAAAAAGGAAATTATCTAAAAACAATATCATAAAATAGTAAAATATAAATTTAAGAGAAAGAGTAAACAAAACACTCATTTATTATATTTCACAAAATATTTACAAAAGTACA